CGTTACCCCTCTCCCGTGGGTGCTCGGGTAGCTTGTGGAGGCAGCAGCGAGTGGGGAGGAGAAGAGTTCCTGCTCCGCAGGATTAGTCTGGCCGGAGGATTTATGAGGCTTTGGAAATACGGCCCCGGAGAGACCCTTTGGAGTGCTGACAGTGCGCTTTGGGTCACTAGTAGCGCAGTGGTAGCACAACCGCTGGCAAACCTTGTGTATCTCCCCTTTCCTCTGGGAAAAACGCTTCGATCATTGCAGAGCGCTTCTGAGAGTCGGGAAAGAGCATTTCTGCTGTCCCTGGCGCCAGGCGTGCCGAGGCTGACCAGGAGGGCTCTTCCTGGGGTCGCCGCTGTGCCCGGCAGCTGGGGGGTGCCAGCAGCCCTGTCTCGCAGGAGCTTTCTCTGTGCCGTCGCAGGCGTGGCCACAGACCCAGAGCAGCTCTCGGAGGCGGTGCAGCGTGGAGCCTCTGCAGAGCGTGCACGAGGCCAGCAAGGTGTAAAGACATCCAGGGGAACCTTGTTCCTGGCACTGTCCTAAGGGGAGCTGCCACAGGGTCTCCTTGGCAGAGCTCTTGAGCAGCTTTCACTGGACTCCTTCTTGTTCCTCTAGCAAACAGGTTACTCCACGAATGAGCGGCAACACGAAGCAGCCCTCTGCTTTCTTCTGGATTGCTTCTGAACCAGCTTATCCAATCTGTTTGAACTTGGTTGGGGAGAAGCCTCAAAATTCCCACAGCTGTCCCCAAAGATAGATGTATCCTGGAGGAGAAACACTGTTGCCCTGTGGGCTGCAGTGGGCAATGCTGCCAAAGGAGCCGCTGCTTTGGCTTTTTATGGCTTCTTTACGCTTAAATTTGGCTCCTAGCAGTACAGTGAAGGAAAGCTCCCCCCCAAATTTCCTTCCCTGTTAAAGCAGGAATACTGATGCTTCCTTTTCCTTCCAGATCGACGGCAGTGGTGTGCAATTATCATCCTCTTCATCATCTTGCTGGTGGTGCTCATCCTGTTTTTCATCCTGTGATGGACTGAACTTCCTCAGACGCCCCCTCCCCGCCCCCTCGCCTCCGTAGCATGGGGAAATAAAACTCTCACCATTTCCGTCCGCCCACAGAAAGCAAGCCTGCACCCGGCTCTCACCGTTCTCCTT